ATAGTTATTATTTAATGTACTACAAGGCAAGCAGATGGCCATGAACACAATGCGCAAACATTCACTTGTCCTCCCATACAGCAAAACGCTTAATGTGGCATAATCACGGATGATAAAGACAATTCAGTAGCCTATTTGTCTTGTTGCTGACTCATACTGTATATTGAATTTGATATTTTAATAGCATCTTAATACATTAAGCCATGTTAAGTGTTTATGTTTTTCTACAGGAGGAAAACGCTTAGCGAGAGACTTTGCGCATTGCGTTCATATTCTGCTGTTCTGTGGCCACGGATTTGCGGGTCTTGTCTTTTTCTCCTACAGATGGCTTGCAGGACCCTGTACATTACGGTACAAAATTGGTTCTAATCGTTTAATCACCACCACAGCATCTAGTCTCCATTGGCAACACGCACGATTTGTGTCGATTAAGTGACGTCGCAGGTATTGGAGAGTGCAAGTGGCGATTGCAAGTGACTTCGTAATTTAGTTTCTTTTGTCTTGTCTTCACCACCTGGCTACTGTTGTAAAATGTTGAGAGATTCAAACAAAAAGAATAAATAAATAGAAAAAAAAAAACAAAAAAATAAAGACTGCAAGTGACGTCGCTAGCGGAAGTGCAAGTGTCTGAGAGTGCAAGTCTTAGAATGCAAGTCTGAGAGTGCAAGCGCAAGTCTGCAGCCAGACCCTTTTGAACTAATTAGGATCTGGGCACTTGATAATTGCAGACTGGTGCGTTTGATCAGGGTTGGAACTGAACTCTGCAGGAAGGTAGATCTCCTGGAACAGGGTTGGGCACCCCTGGGCTATATGATTGAAATAAAATTTTAGTTCAAAAACTTAAGTGCCATTGTTTAAAAAAAAATGCTTTATTGACTGACGTTTCATAGACATTCAGTTGTTTTGCTTTCAAATTTCATGCCATTTGTATGTATGTAATTTCACAGTATTTTCACCCCCTAAATTGCTACACTACTTGTGCAGTCACAGTTCTATAATGGTACGATTTACTCAAACTGATGACATTTTTTTATTTAATTTATTTATTTATTTATTTGTTTATTTATTTATTTTGGGTGACATTAAAATTATTTTTAGAATAATTGTACATAAATTATTTCTTAACTTTTTAACTGCAGGCATCAGTGGTGGACGAAGTACACAAATCAAGTACTTGAGTAAAAGTACAGATACGTATAATAAAATATTACTCCAGTAAAAGTACTCCTTTTTCAATTTTACTCGAGTGAAAGTACAAAAGTACTCGATTTTTTATGTACTTAAGTAAAAAAGTACTGATAGATAGATTTATTTAGCAATTTTATATTGGCTACTTAATTTAATTTTATATTGGCTACTTAATTTAATTTAATATTAGCACATTTTTTATAATCCTGCTGCTCAAAATACCTGGGATTTTCCCAAAATAACCACTATATGGAGTCAAGATATATTTTTGTTGTTGATATGGACTACGTTGACGAGAGTGATGTAGTAATGTTCACTGTGAAGCTTACATTGCGAAGTACCTGAGAAAACAGATCTGACCATCTGATTTTCACCAGTAATTTTAATGTTTAGTTTTTTTTTACCTAAAACATAGAGAAACTGATGTTGATGTGTCTGCATTCAAACATTTCAGTGGGCTTAAATAGATCACCCTTTACAGCAGATTTAATTCACAAACAACTGACAGGTTTGACCTAAATATTATTTTCAGTTACGATGTTTAATAGGGAGCCAGTGCAGTGTTGACAGAACCGGGCTAATATGGTCATACTTCGTGGTTCTAGTAAGAACTCTAGCTGCTGCATTTTGGACCAGCTGGAGTTTGTTTATTAAGCGTGCAGAACAACCACCCAATAAAGCATTACAATAATCTAACCTAACTGAAAAATCTAACTGTGTGCTATCTAGTTTATGAATTATAGATGCACACAGTTTAGCCCTTGCCTTCCACTATGTAAGGACAGCTTTATTCCTTTATGCCATATACACATAAAATGATAAATCTACATAGCCTGTGAGGATGCAATTAACTCAAGGGAAGTAAAAGGGAAAAGATTAAGAAATCTATATTTCAATCAAATAAGATTAAGGAACACCTGTATTTAGGTATTATTAATATCTTTATTGTAGTTTAAATTCCACAACTGAAAACACAATACAGTTTATACAATATATATCCAGAGAGCCTGAATTAATGGAGAATTGTCTTTACCAAAAAAAACAAAAAAACAGGACAAATAAAACCGAATAGAAATGACGGTTATGATCACTGCTTGTACAATGGATAAATACAGATTTAAAGATGGATTTGGTGAATCAAAGCAATGAGATATGATGAGATCAATCATGCAAGTAGCTTTGGATGAGATCCGATCAACGTATATGAGTGTATGATCTCAATGAAATGGGAGCTTTTAATGTCACAAGAGTGCTCGTATTTGTTCTTTGTCCTCTTATCCCACACATACACACTCTCCTGTTGAGAGATATCCATAAGCTCAAGCAGAAGTGCACACAATTCACAAAAAAACTAATATTTACACACTCATCTGTCACACACTTGTCCTGTTTGCTCTGCTGCTGTTGTAATAATAGTGGTTTGTATTATGGAGCAGCTCAGGGACATCCTGTGCCAAAACACTACACACACTGCCCCCATCAAATACAAAAGGCCTGTTTGTCTACATTTGTGTTAGTACGTACACGAAGTAGTGATGCATATTAAAACCTGAAGATAAACATCATGAAGTGTAGGGGGAAAAGGGTCAAACAAATGCTTGTTTTTGGATTAGCATACAAAGTTGTACTATGATACTAAGAAGATTTCATTAATTCTAAAAAATAAAATAAAAAAAAAGGTAGTAATATGGATCTAATACATATGAAATGATAAAACATGTTAATACAGCAAAAATAATAAACATAAAATATTTCTCTGGAATTCTCTGTATTGACCACTTTTGACAATCAAACTGTCCTTGTCACCGTTTAGTTCTGCCCTAGGACTTATATTTAAATATGTATTCTGTTGCATTGTTTCTTTCTTCATCTCCTAAATTCACTTCCTGTGTTTAGTTCCTTTTTCCTCTGTTACCTTACTTTGTCAAGTGGCTGCATCCAAAAGCTGAAATTTGTTGCCTGCGCAAGAAGCATACAGAGGTAGGAAGGCAACAAGGCATGTCCAAATCCATTGATTTTTGAAGACAGCATGGATGTATGCTTAATATCCCACAATTCTGTGCATTCCATTCTGTATATTATTCATATTATTAACATATTGGCTGTTTATTAGTGCTTATAAAGCACATATTCTGCATGACCATATTCTACATCCCTAATCCTACACAATACCTAAACAACTATGTTACTAACTATTAATAAGCAGCAAATTAGGAGTTTATTGAGGCAAAAGTCATAGTTAATGGTTTGTTAATAGAGAGAATTGGACCTTAAAAATAAAGTGTTAGATGTCATTTCTAATGAGAAATTAGTTCTGTAGTAATTAAATATTTGCTTAGCTCTCTCTGTTTTGTCATACTGAAGATCATTAAACTATTATGCTGCCTCAGAAGTCAGTACAAAATCAGTTTTGGAGACCTTCATGCACAAACGCTGCCTGCAAAGTCAGTGCCTGATAGGACAGCAAGAAAACAGCTCAGCTGCCAAAGCCTTCGAATGCAGCCAGTATGTTTTCATTTTGTTCCCTTTGGTTACTGATTATGTTCCTCACCTGTCTCTTGTTTAGTTCCTCATTTACCTGTGTATATTAGACTGTATTTGTAGCTTGAGTTTGTCAGTTATTGTTTAGAAAGCTGTTGCTCTCTTTTGTTTCTCCTGTGCCTTTGTGGATATTTTCGTTTTATTTAACTCCTGCTAAAAGGATGCCTATATATCTCTGCTCTCCTTCATCCATGCTGCACCATGATATTGCTAGTGTCATGTTTCAAAAGCACAGTGGTTTGCAAACCTGTCCTGGAGTAGGTTCTTGAAAACACCATATATGGTACATTAATGGTACTTCCCCAAATGATGCAAAATCCTAACAGAATATAAAGGAAATACTTGACACACTTTCACACAGCCCACTTTTATTAATGAAAAATTATAATCTTCTTAGAAAACATTTTAATAATGCGAAATATATATATTTTTAAAGAAACTATTTCACACACATCGAAACTTTCATAAAAATGTGTAGCTTCGTTCCTGTTATAATACAGTAATTAAAACAGTAATAAAATCAGGAGATGACTCGGATGCTGAGATGAGAAGGTAGTGAACAGTACTTGCCATTAGAAACCCGTAGCAGCTTAGTAGTGTCATAACATTTGCTTTCCTGTTTTTTGCATGTTTGTTACTTCATTTAACAAATCGTCAAAAACGTTTAATAATACAGTCACACTTTCTTCATATAAGTTAACAAAACTCTATATAAAGGCTTAAAACAAGGAAATAGGAGACAAAATGCCCTGTTGAGGGAACAAAAATATTGCAAATTTGTACATCCTCAGGCCTGTTGTGGTTTCTCTGTATAGTTACGACTACTGAGCGTCACCCTGCAGTCTTGCAGGGTCCGTTTTGTTCATGCAGTCTTTAAGACCGTCCTTCAGTTGGACCAGCTGCTCAGAATGGCTCGTTAGCGTCCCGTTGACCTGTGCCAGGAAGCTGTCTGAATGTCTCTCCAGCTCACCGCGGATTCTCTCAAGGTCATCGGCTAGCTCCCCCAGGCCGCCACACTGTCCTTCGACCTGCGTGATTCGACTTTCCACCCCCATCACTTCTTGCTGCATTCCCTGCGTTGTGCTGCGACAGCCCTGCAGCTCCCCGGCTAACCTCCGCCGCAAGCTCTGGAGCTCCGCCTTCAACTGGATCAGCCTCTGCTCCCCGGATCCAAGCATAGTTGCCTGTCGCTCCACCAGATCCGAGATTCCCTGCACCTGCGTGACCAGCCGGCTTTCCCGCTCCTGCCAGGTGGAATTCACCTGGCCGACTTCTCGAGCGAACAGGCTGACCGAATCACGCAGCCCTTTCAAGGTACGGTTGACAGAGTTGACGTTGATCTTCAGGAGTGTGATTTCCCCCTGGATGGAGCGTTCTCTGTCTTCCTGGGATAGCTGTGATAGGATACCCTGCAAGGTGCTGTTGAGATAGTCCAGTTTGTTTGAATGGACATCCAGGCGGTCCAGCATCTTCTTTTCTGTTTCCTTACAGTCCTCCACCTCAGTCTGGATGAGGGCCATCTCTGGGCCAGAGGCGAGGGAGCAGGCAGAGGTGCAAAGGAGCTCAAGGACGGACATCTGCTTCTGCATCCCATCTAAGTCAGCCTCCACCCTCCTCCGGATGCTATCGATCTCCGTCTCCAGTGCCGGCACCACTTGCCCCTCTAGCAACGCCGGTGCCGTGGCATTGCTCAACTCCTCAACTGCCACAAACAAACGTCGCTCCAATGTCTTTAGCTTATCGTCTAACAAAGAGTTAAACCCATCCAGGGAGCCAAACTCATCTCGGTGTCCGTGTTCAGAGGCGTTCATTTTACCCTCCATGTCCACCAGCCGGGTCTCCAGCCGGGTCTCGATGTGGAGCGTCTGGTCAGTCAGGTCCACTTGTAGCTGCCTCTGGGACTCAGTCAGTCCTGTAATTGAGTCCTCCAGCTGGAACATCCTCTGGGTCAGGCTGTTTATCTCGCCGCAGCAGCTCTCGGTTATCGTCAGACCCTGGATCTGTGTCTGCAGTTCACCTAGCTCTTTCCTCAAGCCCGTCTCACGGCCGTCCAGCGAAAGTTGGATCTGTTCTTGGCCTGTTAGGTGCTCTTTGTGACACTGCTGCTGAACCTAGGGACAGGACACAGGAAACCTTATTTTAACAACTGGAAGGATTAGGTGAAGCAATTTTGATCTGTTCGCAATCGCGTTCCGGGGGGTGGGGGGGTCCCCTCGGTCTGTTCGCTGCGGGGCCCGGTGCGACTGCACCAATTGCACTGCCCAAAGGATGGCCCTGACTTTAAGACATGCTTTTTTGGCTGTTAAATAATGGTGCAAATAACAGTAATTCGACGAGGGCAAATCTTAGTAAATCGTGTTGCATGATTCATTTTAATACTCTCCTCCCATAAATTTACCAATCGAAAGGGAAACTCCTACAAATGCATATTCAATAAGGTGAGTCGCAAAAATGACTATGTCCACGCCTTTTCAGCGCTAATTTCCCACTGCGTGTCTTTAGTAAATAGTGACAGTAGTTTTTTAACGCCAAATGAGGGTTTGCGCTGGGCTGCAGGCGCAAGATGATAGTAAATCTGGTCCTTAAATTAATAAATCCCAACTTATCTACTGTATATTATATAACTTATACTACCCAGGGCTCCAAAGTGTAAGAATTTCAAAATTACTGCATGAGTCATACAAAGAAAGAGCTTTGCAATATAGGCAATATGATGCAATAATGAATGCATGTGTGAATATTGATGTGTTAATCTAATCTACGGGAGAGTGAAGGTAATAACATTAATTAATAATTCATATTTGCAAGCAGTCTTCATTACAAATAACAAATGTGAGGTAGTTAATGTTCTGAATGTTCATGTTAATAATATTTGGCTATAACTATATTAACATTAAACTTAAAAAAAAAATGTATCAGCAAGTGTTCTTTTTTTGTCATGTACCTAAATTGTGTCATAATTTTTAATTCCGTTTTCAATGCCTGCTTGTGCATATCTACTGTATGCTGCACTGTGACACATTAATGAAGATTTCTTAAAAAAACAAATTGATAATAATAATAATAATAAATGAACAAATAAATAAATAAATACCATCCTTGTTTTGTTTTATTGTTTTTTTTTAAATAGCATTTATTAGAAAGGACTTATTTATATGTATGTGTGTATATATATATATATATATATATATATATATAATGTGCCCTTGTAATCTTAAATCAAGAAGCTCTTCTTTTATCAAGAAGCTTAGATCAAAATAGGAAAGAAAAGTCAGTAGCAATTTCTGGTACATGCTGACTTGAATTAGAACAAATACAAATGGCATCACTTACAACGCTCCAACTAGTTCTTGGCGTGAAGTTCAGTGATCATCTCACCTGACCGATTCTCTCATCACAGTGGCTCTCCAGACCCGTCAGTCTCCTCTCAAAGCCATCGAGGACATCTGCCCTCACCCCGGCCAATCTGGAGTCCAGAAGATCCTCTAGATGTCTCTGATCTGCAGGGACAGGTCTCCCTGTGGCCGTGTCAATCAGCTTCTTCAGCTGGCCATCGTGTCCCATCACCATCCCACGGATCTCGTCCAGCATGTCGCTCTTGGTCCTCAGCTCATCTTTGACCTCCATCACCCTTCCCACCAGCTCTCCAAAACCAGGGAGGTTCTCTTTGCCGTCTAAGCCATTCGGCGTGCCCTCTGGGATCAGCCCGAAGCCCACAGAGGTATCCAGCAGCCGCGGGACGCCACCTAGCAAGGTGGTCAGCATTTTCTTAGTGTCCTCCCGAAGAGAGACTCGCAGACGCTCCTCCATACCCATCACCATGCCGTTCAGGTTGTCCAGATCTTGAGAGAGTTTGCGAAGGTTTTCTTCAATGCGGTCTAAACGTTCACCAGAGACTCCCGCCTTCGGACCTTGGTAGAGGTGAGTAAGAGATAACATTTACAACTAAATTTAGGAAATTAGAAAGGCGTAGTTCAGGGCTTCCCAAACTGGGTTTGTAAGGGAACTGCAGGGGAGTTGTAAAAAGCTAATTATATCCAAATGTAAAACTAAAATAAATAAAAAAATTGGGCTGCACAATAATAACGTAAATGTGGCAAACTCCATATCTGCATGTGCTGTGAGTTTAACATGCATTTAGGAACGCAACATGCTCTAGGATTTATACCTTCACATAATTTCCAACATTTTTGTGCACAGAAGTTTACAGCATTTCAGAAGTATCATAAATAAATAAATAAATAAATAAATAAGAAAGAAAAAAAAAGAGGATTTAAAATGTTTAAAGCTTGAGAGTTAGAATTTTGAAAGTGATGAATTTAAAGACAAATATTATTATTGTAACTTTTAGTGAAAAATAAAATTATTATAATTATTATTCATGTTTATTTTACAGTACAGTTGTAATATGTTTCTCTCTTAAATTACATAATTTAGAGATAAAGCACAATGATAATAACATTATTATTATTATTATTTCATTTATTTATTTTGTGAATGTAATGTGGACTCAGCAACAAATTTATTAAGTATGTATGTATGTATGCATGGATTATTTTTTTTTTTTTACAAACCTGTTCATCAACAACAGAGAATCACGAATATGTGAATGTGTTACATTATTATTGATAATAATTAAAATCATAGGGTATTTCAAGAAAATATTTTGGATTTAAGAGGTTTGGCTAACAAAAAAGTTTGGGGAACCCCTGGAGTAGATTAAAACTAAATAATGTACAATTTTAAACTTCATTACTTTATAATAAACTATTTATTATACTTTACCCTACTGTTAACATTAATGGCAGTGTTCACAGTCAAATTACTAATGGTGGCACATTGGGAGTGTTGTGAGCTGTGTAATCTGCACTCACCATAACTTGTTTTCGGAGTTTCTGGTGGCAGGAATCCACTAGGGATGGGTTTGTTGTCAGGGTGACCTCCAGGAAAGGGGAATGGGATATTGGGATGACCCCTGTGGTAACCCTTCACCCCGGGCCGAGGGAAAGAGCCTTTTGGCATCATGGCATCGGGGTCAGAGGTCGGCCCATCGCCGCAGCTCTCTCCAGAGAAACCCGGGCAACAGCGCCACTCCAGTTCAGTGATGGTTTTATAACCGACTTTGTACTGTGGTTTAAAGAGTGTCCGATACCTGCGGGGGAAAACACGCTGAATGTCACAAACAGAATGAACTTCACACTTTCAGATGGAAATGCAGTTTGAGTATCTCACACGTTCACATCACAAGCTTCTGCTCTCTGACTGTGGCACTTGACAATGAACAGTTTTCTGAGCTGCCACTAGAGGGCAACTCAAGGACACAATAAAAATTGCTTGACTGCTTAAAACACCAACTCTGCAAATGGTATCAATCAGTGTATCACAATAGGAAAATAGCCTCTAACATGTATCATTTGTTGTTTTTTGAAATATCTGAGACTAACTTTTTCCTACTATTTAGATCAAAATTTTGTTGTAACTAAAATCACTCCACGTTATTCCATTCAAGATCCATAGTGCTTGACTTACATGAGCACAGGACATTTCTGTCCCCATATGCACTTGGTAGTGTACTCTGGTTTGACATATGTGGCCACTCCATCTTGCATTACACAGGTGATGTTCTTCTGGACAACGTAGGCACAGAAGTTCCTGTTATGAGGAAAGAGACACACAAAAATCGAAGTCTGAAAAAAAAAATGAGATCTTATTAGCAGGGTTACTAGTTTGATGATGGAATCGTGAATTTTGTACTTATAAGTACAATCACTTTTTCACCAGGCAATGTAACATCAACTACCCAAACATAGCGATAACGTTTAAATGATTTATAAAAGAATAGAATCATCTAAACAAAAGGCATTAAAAGAGTTCACCAGTTCGTTCCACAGTCCAAGCTGAACCTGCCATCAGTGTTCACTAAAACACATGCACTCACATCCGTTCAAACTTTTTCATCTGAAGTGCAGCTATAGCAACTGCCTAGAGTCCACAGCAAGAAACAACAGAGAGAGAGAGAGAGAGAGACTGGCAAATAGTATAGATTAAGCAGCGATAAACATTTTAAACAGTAGTATGCTTCATGATATCATTATATGGCATGTTTATTTTTGCAGCTTTCTTTCTTTCTTTATTCTAGATTTTGAGTAAATCTATTTTGAGTAACATTTCTTCATTTTTAACATTTTGATCAAATAATGACTCGAGATAGAAATCAAAACCATGGTTGATATTGCTAATGGATCATTCATGAGACTGAAAATAGAAGATCATGTTGTATGTTTTGCATTGTTGGACACAGTGTTTCTATTCAATGTACTTTGTTATATAGTAATATTGTTTAATACTGTAAAGCTGCTTTGACACAATCTGTACTGTAAACAGTGCTATATAAATAACGGTGACTTATTTCAATGGATATTCCATGCATAATAAAATATTTATACTGTGCAAAGTATAAATACTGCAGAATGCAAAAATAACATTAATAGACTGACCAGGTCATTGTTTTACCATTTTAAATTGTATATTGCCTTTTTTTATCATTAAAAAATATTATGTCACATGTTTTACATAATGTGTACTATATATATAATTTATAGTGCCCTTCCTCTTAACAACCGAAAATTCAGCTAACAAAAAAAATAAAAAAAAATCAAGTAAAAATAAAAAATAGTATGGTATATATACTTGTTTACTAACTTAAAAACTCAAATTCAGAGCCCCATTATACAGTAATTACACAGTTCAGCAGCTGTTGAGATCTGATTTATGGCTGTCTGATGCTATCAGCTGCGAAACAAACAGTTTTGTTAAAGTGATACATAAATAACACACAAGGAAACCCACATTTGGCCATAAATATGCACTGTACAGCCCACATGTACGTGTCTTAACTCACAGAGTGCCCATAGTAAGAAGAGTATCTGATTGAAGATCAGTCATGCGTTGCTGTACTGAGTTGGCATTTTCCAGTGAGCCTGGAGCAAAACTCAAAGTTCTGCTTGAGAGATCTGGACTGTTACAGAGCTTCAATCTGTTCAGAGTTCAGGTGTAGTGACCCCTGACATTAATGAATCTAATTACAAGTGTGGCTAGTGAACTAACCTATCTTGAAGTCTAGTGTGTCTTCACATTACTGTCTTAAAAATATGTACACTGCTGTTCAAAGGTTTGAGATCAGTAAGATTTTTAATGCTTTTTTTTAAAGAAGTCTCATATGCTCATTTGCATTTATTTGATCAAAAACACAGAAAAAAACTTTCTATGGAGCCCGTATTTATAATACATTATAAGGGTATTCTTAAGGCATTATAATGAATGCATAATGCATTATAAAAAAACGTATAATATGTTGTATCATCTCATGAATATTCATAAGAACAGTTTTAATATATTATAATATTTACTTATTTGTGGTTATAGCTTTTAAGAGTATGATGATTTATAACACAATGAACACATTGCAT